CATATACATTGAGTTCATTTATTGTGCAGTTTAATTCTTCAGCATCTTTGTTGAGTTTATTTCTGGTAGTTCTATCTTTCCTTGAGGGTGATGTATTGAAGTCTCCTACTACTATAATGGTGTTGTCTATTTCTTTTTTCAGATTTCTTAATGTTTGCTTTATAGAGTTTGCAACTCTATCATTTGGTACATAGTACCTATTATGATTATGTACTCTTGTTCTACTGACCCTTTAAGCATTATGTAGTGATCTTCCCTGTCTTTTGTAATGTGTTTTGAAATCTATTTTATCAGAGATTAGTATTGCTACTCCTGCTTTTTTTCTGGTTGCCATTTACTTGGTATATTTTTCCCCACCCTTCTTTGTTTAGTCTTTTTTTTGCCTTCACTTTTCAGGTATGTCTGTTTCTGACAACATTTTGTTGAGTTGTGGGATTTTTAGCCAATGTGCTACTCTTTTTATCTTCAATGATGGTTTAAACCATTCACATTCAGTGTAATTATAAGAAGGAAGGGTTTATTGCTATCTTTTTGTTGTTTTTGGTATTGTTGCTGGTTACTTTGATCCATCCTGCTTTCTGTGGCTTCTCTGTAAGAAGGGTATATTTCAGTGTTTCTTGCAATGCTGGTATTGTTTTTACAAACTCCCTTAGGTTAGCTTTTTTGATAATAGTTTTGTTGGGTACACTATTCTTGGTTGACATTTGTGTTATTTGAGTGTTCAATATGGGTCATTCCACTCTCTTCTTGCTTGCATGGTTTCTGCTGAGAAATCAGTACTTAATTTTATTTACTCTCCTTTATAGATTACTCTTTGTTTCTTCCTAGCTGCTTTCAAAATTCTCTCCTTATCTTTGGTTCTGGCAAATTAGACATATATGTATTATATGAATTACATGTGTTATTGTTGTTGTTGTTGTTGTTTGGTGCCATTGAGTTGTAGACGACTCATAGGGACCCTATGAACGAAAGGGCTGAGCACTGTTCATAGAGTTTCCGGAGGCAAGACCTTTCAGAAGTGGATGCCACTCCTGCTTCCAGGCTTGTTTTAGTCGGGAAGCTCCAGCAAACACTGTACACCATGGGTAACCATTACCCATGTAACTAATATTAAGAAGAAGAAAAAATATATCTATTCTATTCTATTCTATCATATTATTATATTGCCTTGGTATTTTTCTTTTGGGGTCTATTCTAAATGGTGTTTTCTCAGCTTCTTGAATATATATTCTCTCATTCTTTATTATGACTGGAATATTCTAGTAATTTTTCCACAATTTTCTCAATACCTTTGTTTAATTCTTCCTGTTCTGGGATTCAAATTATGCATGTTATTCCTCTTGATGGTGTCCCACATTATTCTTAAGCTTTCTTCTTGTTCCTTCCTTTTTGATTCTGCTCTGTTTTAGCAAATCAGTGGTGACAATTCTATCTTCTATTTTACTGATTCTTTGTTCCATCTCTTCAGTTCTATTCATATGTCCCTCCCACATGTTGACAGCATTTGCAACATTGATCCTCCTATTTTAGATTATGGTTTCTCTTTTTCCCCAGAGCCTTTAATGCCTCATTTGGTTTATTTGCATTGTCTTGGATTTTTTTTTTAAGTTCCCCTTGATTTTTGCTTTCAGAGTTCTGAAATTCTTCAAATTTGTCTTTCACCCATTGAAACATTCAATCATTGTTCTTTTTAATTCTGTGTCAGAAAGTTCCATCACACTTTCTGGCTTCAGGAAATTCATTGATACTATGTCACTTTGGGGGATAGCATCTTGCTTAGGGTTTGTATAGTGTGTGAGATAGATTCTTTTGTGACATTGCTATAGTAGAGTTTTTCATACCTGCAACCTTAACAGACTCTTCAGCTGAAAACCTTGGCTTAGGAAATTGCTGGTACAGAAGAAGGCAGCACAGCTACCCTGTCTGAGTTTCTCTCTAAACTTTTGACTCAAGGGAAGACTTGCTTCAGTTTGGGAGAGATATGGCCTGGCCTGTGAATTAGCAACCTTTTCTGTCAGGCAACTGATGCAGCTCAGCAACTTCAAGGTGCCCAGGGCTAAAGGTATCTCTAGCTCTGGGAGGAGTTATAAAATGGGTTTACCTGTGATACTGGTGTCCCTAGTGCAGTTCAGAGAGGCAGCAGTGGTTCATCCTTCAAGTGTGGGGGTGGGGACATCCAGGCACTGGGGGTCCTCCAGGTGGTGCAGCCAGGCTTCTAGGTGGCAGAGCAAGGTCCTCCAGGCAGCAGGGTCAGGCTTCCTCATGGTAGACGGGAGTGTTAAGGCAGTAGGTGGGAGTGTCCAGGTGGCGGGCGGGAGCATCCAGGCAGTAGGACAAGGTCTTCCAGGTGGGGGGTTCAGGGGAGCAGGCGGCAGGGCATGGGGCCTCCAAGCAAAGGGGCTGAGGTGGGGACAGAGCATCTAGCAGCATTGCAGTGGTCTAGTGCTCCAGACAGGAGTGCAGTCTAGGCCACAGTAAGAAATTCTTAAGACAGGCACCTAGTTAATTGACTGGAACAGAGATGTGGGTGCAGCACGGGTGTGGGCATAGGTGCAGCATGGACACTGGTGTAGTGCATATGTAATACTATAATATAAATTTTTAAACACATAGGTTTAGTGTTTGTTTATATACTTTGTGCTGATTGCTAACTTCATTATATTGTAGTCATCAAAATTATGTAATGTTAATTTTATGGTCTGGTAAAACCATTTATTCTCTCATTATTGCATTAAGATGCTAAAAATAACCAATAAATTAAGTCTGTTAATCAAACTATTAAAGTTTTCAATACTTCTAGATTTTCAGACACACATTATTTTTTAGAAAGTATCATAAGAATCTCCTAACATTTCTGTTGATTTATCAAATACTTTTTGTATCCTATTAGATTTTATATCAAATAAATTATATGTAAATTATTTGCATATAAAATTAGATATATATTAATATATAGTTAAATGGGTTTACAGTTATAGTTAAGTAAGTTACAGTTAAGTAAATAAGTTCAGAATTTTTATATTTTCCTTGTTAATTATTCTTTTTATGACTGAGTAATAGCCATCTTTAATTTTAATGTTTTTGCCTGCAATTCTAATCTCTTTTAAAAGATGTATCTTTTCTTATCTTTAACTTTCAAACTTTGTTTCATTATTTTATCTGAAAATTTATATTTTTAATGCTAGATTATTATTTTTTTCTACTTCCTAATTCCTTCTCCTTAGCTCTCCTTGTATTTTTTTCCTTCTCATTGTGTCCTCCAGATGAAAACAAATGAGAAGATACACACGTGCACACACACATATATAGCAGAGAGAGAAAGGTATAGATATATATTATATCTATGTTTGTCTACATATATTTTATATCCTCATATGTACCTTTATATCTGCAACTATATTTATATATCCAAAGACATCTAGTAGCTTAGTAGTAGAGTAGGTGCTGACAACCCAAAGGCACATGGTTTAAATCCATCAGCTGCTCCATAGGAAGAAAGATGTGCAGTTTCCTCTCATTAGATTTACTACCTCTGAAAACTTGCTGGAGAGTTACTGTGAATCTGGTGAGCTCTGGTGACCTAGTGGTAAGGAGTTGGGAGCTAAACCAAAGCCATACAATTTTAATCCACTAGCTGCTGTATGAGAGAAATATGGGCAATCTCCTCCTGTGAGATCTACAGGCTCTGAAAGCCTCCTGGAATGTCATCTATGAATTGTTTCTGACTACATGGCCCATAACAAGAACAACAGCAACAATATATATCTTAATAGATAAATAACATAATACATACACACATATAAGTGTGTGCTTATCCTGATGGAATCTCAGCAACTGGATGCTTCATTGCTAACTGAAAGTTTATCAATTTAGACCTACCTGCTATTCCATGTGGGAATCTGCCTCAATAAATATTTATAGCTTTAGAAACCATTTGGTTAGCTCTACTCTATCTTTTACAAATGAGCTCTGGTGGCTTAATTGCAAGAGTTGCACTGGTATTGCAAAGGCATGTGTTACAAATCTGCTTGCTGCTTCATGGGAAAAATATGGGTAATCTGCTCCTATACAATGTATTGCCTCTGAAAACTTGCAGAAGGTTTAGGTATGAATCAGTTCTTACTTAATGATGTTACCAGTCAGAATCTGTTTAATACGAGTGGATTTGGGGTATAAATGGATTGGAGGTGTATGTATGTTTGTATTTAATATTCCTATATTTTTCTGTGTGATTTGACATCCTGGATTATTTTTCTCAGAAATGTTTTCTAGGTTGCTAATTCTCTCTTCTACTTATTCAATTTCACTATCTCTTAAGGACAATAAGTAACATTTTTCTCATAAATAAAATTGATGTTCTAAGCTCTTCATTCAACAACTTTCTATACCTCTTCAGTGGAGACCTCACTTGTGTCAATGGCTTTCTGTCTAAAACCAATATTCTTTGTGTGTTATTATTTACTGGCCTAAATTTTAATTTCTAATTTCTTCTTTTTTTCTGAAATCTGGATATGTTTTAAACCATTCTATTAATCCTGGAAACACATTTAAAAATACTTTTTCCCCTTATTTGTCTTTCTATTTTTATGTGTTTGAATTGAATTAACTTATTCCATTAGATACCTTGAAGTGTCATGTAAATGCCTGATGCATTTAAATAGATCAATATACTGTTTTGTAAAGATTTTCTTTTTCTTTAAGCTACAGTATTCTCCAGAGTATATTTTTTTTAATTTTTAATATTATAAATAAACATTGAAAGAAACTTATCAGGTCTTTACTGATAAAATGTATTAAATCATGTAAGTGTTTGTAAAATACACCAAAATAACATATTTTAAATAACTGAGCCTTTCTTGATTAATTTGAAGAGGCTTGTTCAAATTTTTAAAACACTGCTGAGATGGAGACTAGAAAAAAAGAAAATTATATCCCTCTCACATAACAAATGAATAAAATTGTCTTGTGTCTTCTTATTCCTTTCCTTCCTACCTCTGCAGCTTAGAACAGCGAAACTTGACTTTGGAAACGGAAATGATGAGCCTTCATGATGAACTGGATCAAGAAAGGAAAAAGTTCACAATGATAGAAATCAAAATGCGAAATGCTGAGCGAGCGAAAGAAGATGCAGAGAAAAGAAATGACATGCTACAGAAAGAAATGGAGCAGTTCTTTTCCACTTTTGGGGAGTTGACAGTGGAACCCAGGAGAAATGAGAGAGGAAACACAATATGGATCCAGTGAATCTAGCCTCTTCTGCTCTCTCCAATGGCTCTGGGAAAGACTCGGGAAATTCTAGTGGGATAGTATATGGGAACAGGTGACTGGTCACCTGACTGTACAGTGATCTAACTGGTGAAAGAATATTATTTACAAACATTAACCATCCTTATTTGCAATGTGTACCAAAGTTATATCATGCCTCATATTGCTACTGTCAAGTGTTACAACTGGATATGTGTATATAGAGTAGTTTTTAAAAAGTAAACTAAAAATGAAAAGCATATCTCAAGAAATATTTTATTGCAAGTCTTGTATTTAAACTGTTGAATCAATAAGTTGTTGCAATTTAGCTTGCTTTCAAGCTTCACCCCTTGCACTTAACATAAGCTATTTTTGGCATTGTGTTACCATCCACTTATTTTATAGATCAATATTTTTATTTCCCCTTTTGCTGAGGAAATGAAGATAAGCAGAAATATAACTATATATGAATATATATATATATAATATGAGTTATTAAAATCAAAAGAATACTTTGTGGCTGTGATGTTTGTGCTAGTAGACCTTACCCATGACCAAAAAGAGAAATGTAAATATCTTTATAAAAGATAGTAAAGTCAGATCTTTGAGCTGCTTTTTCAATCTTTCCCTCGGTTTTCCTTTGTGGGATGGTTTAATACAGGAAATTGGAAACTGTGTAAATGCTCTCCCCTTCTCTGCTTGCCAGGAGATTCTTCTTGTTCTGTACCGTTGAATTGGAACTGACCCATAGCTGACCCTCCCGTGGCTTTTCAGAAGCACCAAATCTCATGGTCAGAGATTGTCCACCTTTCAGCTGGTAGATTTGAGCCACTTTTATGTAAGCTGCACCTTAGAAGGAGAAAAGTGGTACACAAAAGCACTGAAGCAGCCATACCTTCAAGTGTGTTGTCCTTTGGGATTAAATCTCTGTTAACTGCTGGATAGTTATTAGAGACATTCTTCCTGCTCTTTGGAAGTTGGGGAGCACTGCTTGCTGAATTGTGTTCTGTAAGCACTTGATCCCACTCTTAGCTCTCCCTACCAAAAATAATCTTTGAAATGCTGGAAGTCAGAAGATACTAAGCTGCTAGAGTGTGTCAGTAAAAGGACGCTTTCCCCCCTCACTCTGGCTGTCTTATTGTCATCTGTGCTTCCTCTCTGTGATATAGCTGGAAGAGGTAAGTTGTAGTAAGAGGGATATTAGAGGGGGGCGGGGTGCTGTTGTGACGGGTAGAGGACCTGGAAGAGAAGGGGCAAATTTGAAGCACACAAACTAATTACAGTTTTGTTAACAATGTTCTTTCACATTGAAAATATTTTCATTCTGTTTTTAAATTTTGATGGCTTAAACGTCCCGTTTTAACAGGATTGGTAAACATCAATAATTCTAATACTCTAGAAAAGCCAAAAGCTTGTTGGAGCTAGAGTTCTCAGAGCACAATTCTTCATGAAACTTCAGTGAGACCATGCTATTGAAGAGTCAGTGATTTCAATCTCCACACTGTTGTTGTTGTTGTTGTTATGTGCCGTCGACTAGAACAAAAAACATTATAAAAAGAATCATCAGAAATAAAGACTCCTTGAGCTTTTGGAATTTCTGTGATTTGAACGTTGTGCATTTGTGTTTTTTCTTTTCAAAAGGTAAATTGGTATTTATAGGATTTGTACTTGATTCTGTCCATTATTTGTTTGTTTGTATGGGAGTTTTTTATCTTTCTGTTAGCAAGCTCATGTGATCCCTCAGTGTCAACCAATATCTGTGTATCAGTTACTTACTTATCTTTAGGTCCATTATTGTTTTTCTCTTGCAATTTCATAAACAGATACTTCTACCTGATGTCTTATAAAATCCAAAACCAAACCTATTGCCATTGATTTGACTGATTCATAAACCATTAGAACATCTTTCAAGGGCTGTAATATTTATGGTCATTTTCAGGCCCATAGTGGTAGTTGCTGCAACAATCCAAGGCTCAGATCTACTGTTCATAGAATCACTATGAATCATAGTCAACTAACAGCAAAGACAACTATCTTTATGGCAGTAACTGGTGCTGCTTCCTATGAAGCAGCTAGTGAGTTTGAACAGCTGATCTTTTTGATTGGCAGTCTAATGTTTAATTACTTCACCATCAGGGCTTCTGGATAGCCTGTAAAGAATTCATACTCAAAATGTTCAAAATGGATCTCAGTAATTCCCCTTGTTATTATAAATGTTTATTTTTCCAGTGCCTTCTATAAGGCCTTCCCCAGACAAACCCAGGGAGCTGAATGATGAGCAATAATAAAAAACTAACGCAGTGCAATTCACCTGGGTTAACAGTTCTATAAATTATTAAAAGTTATTTAGCATTCCCTACCAAGCTAAAGGTGGGTGATTTTAATCTGGCCCTGAGGCCTGCTTTTAATTGTGTTTTGGTCAAACATTCTTCTAAGTGGTATAGCACTGGTCTGTCCATTTGTTATACAGAGATAACTGTTGGTTGCAGTCAGTGATACTAATCACTGTGACACTGATGCAATAATGGTTACCCATGGGGGGCAGTGTTTAGTGGAGCTTCCCAATTAAAACAAGCTTGGAAGCAGGAGTGGCATCCACTTCTGAAATAGCTTGCCTCCGGAAACTCTATGGAAGTGGAAAAATGTTGAAAGTCATACAAGTGTTCAGGTCTTTCAATGTATGGTCGCCATGAGTTGTCTACGAATCAAAAGCACATAACAACAACAACAACAAATAACTTTTCACCTGTAGGATAATAACAAAGAACTTTTCATCTAAACAGTGAGAATAATAAAAATACCACCAATGTAGACTTATGGTTTTGGGTGTTGGGTTTGTTTTGTTGGTTTTTTTCCTTTTTTTTTCAATGAGATAGTTTGTTTTAAGACTAAGCACACACCTAATATACATACATATTGCTGTGTACCATTGAATTGAAACTGACCCATAGTTTACCCTTCAGCTGGTTTTCAGAGAGTTAATTGGATGAGAGTAGATTACCACAATATCTTTCTCTTATCCTGCAACTGGTGGATTCAAATCCCCTACCTTTGGGTTGTCAGAGTAACGACTTTATCATCTACTCTCCCTTTCATTATTAAATTCAATCACCAAGTCCTGTCAGTTCCACTCAACCTTGTCTTTATAAGTTGCTGTCTCTGATCAATTTCTCACCTTTTAAAAAGAAACCTACTTAGCCACTTCTGTTCCAATATTTCTTCTCTACGTCATATTTCTTTCTCACCACTGGGCCAATTGGCAGCATCAAGATGGATGGTGAAGAGATTGAGATTATTCACAGCTTTAGTTTGCTTGGTTCCACAGTCAACACTCTCGGCACTAGTAACCAGGAAATTAAGACGTATTTCCATAGGAAAGTCTGGTTTTAGGGACCTCTCCAAAGTACTGAAGAACAATGGTGTCTCTCTGGAGACTAAGGTGCATCTGATACAGGCCATAGTCTTTGCTATCACTTGTTATGCATTAGAGAGCTGGGCAATGACCAAGGAGGATAGAAGGAGAATTGATGCCTTTGAGCTGTGGTGCTGGAGAAGAGTATTGAGGGTACCATGGACTGCTAGGAAAACAAACAAATTCATCCTGGAAAGGGTCAAACTTGGTGGCTCCTTGGAGGCAAGGATTCTAAGGCTCCATCTAACATACTATGGACATGTTGTAAGGAGGGACAGGTCCTTGGAGAGGGACATCATGCTTGGTAGGGTGGAGGAACAGCGCAGGAGGGGAAGGCC